TTCTAATCATTCAGGCCCCTGTATTATCGTGGACCAGAACATCGGCTTGCTCAAAGCACGGGAGCTTGACTCAGCCCAGGAAAAGTCAGTGGAGGACTAAGGGTGTGTGTGGTTGAGTTTAGGATATAAGGTGGAGGTATTTAGATTTCTAGCTGGCTGAACCTCCCACCACCAAGAAGCCGAACCTGTGGCAGCCGACCACGGTCCCTAAAGAGTTTCAACAGCTCCGACTAGAAGCGTTCCCTCCTGAGCTGCCCATCGACCTCCCTATATATAGTACAATATGCCTGCGTGTTCAGCTGGCTCTAGACCGTCGGCCATCTCTGCTTCTTTTATGCGACAGGGATACTGATCTTAGAGGCATCCTCAGTGTTTTCGCACGCCCGACAGCTATGGAGCCAGCATGAATTCGCACAGTGTGCCAATGCCTGGCAGCAGAATGCTGAGACGAAGGAGGGACAGGCTCGGAGGTGCACTGTAACCAGGGATCAGAGCCTCGAGTTTCGCGTCTTGTGCCCTGTCCTTTCCTTCATTTTATGTGCGATTCGGCGTAGGATCTTGCACAAAGATTGCAAGCCTGGGTGCTCGAAGCAAAGACTGCTGACGGCCCATCCGGAAGAGTTGCGGAGTGAGATCGAGAAGGCAGACAAAGCCCATGGCCGCCGGTCTGCAAGTCAACCGTCAACGTTTGCGAGTTCAGGAACCCTGGCCCCCTAAACCCGGGCAGAACAAACAGTTCCTGCATTCAGACCTGCCTGAACAGGCTCTCTTGAGATATCTACTCCGGAAGAACGTCCTCAAACAAAAAACTCAAGCCAGTCTCCTTGACGACTTGAGTTGAGCGCCAGCTCGGGCGACATAGACACTGTCCACTTGATGTGCCAGGGTGCTTCTTGGCTCAAAGCACAAGTCTGCACAGCCACGTTCCCCTTCGTATAGCGTGCCTCGCCTAGTTGCAGCTGCTTTGGGAAGGTCGGAAGGTTTGCTGCTTCTCAGTTCTTCGCAGGAGTTCGTGTTCTCCTGAACCCTGCAGCCCAAAACCCTGCAACCCAAATTAAACCAGAAAAAGCCCGTAAACAACAAAATAATAAACCCCAAACTCTAAGTTGAAAGCCTAAAGCCTAAACCCCGCAAACCCTAAGTTGAAAGCCTAAAGCCTAAACCCCAAACTCCAAGTTGAAAGCCTAAAGCCCCAATGAATGACACTCCTCGCTCCCAAGCTCTACTTGTTTTGCTCGCTGCTGAGGACGATCGGCCGGTAAGACTGGATCAGTTGCTCGCCGAAAATTTCAGGGATTCCTTTACGGCTTCCTTTGAGGGTTCCTGTATGTGTTCCTTTAAGCTAAGGGTTCCTTTATGGGCTCCTTTGAGGATCCCTTTCAGGGTTCCTTTAAGTGAAGGGTTGCTTTATGGGTTCCTTTGAGGATTTTTTTTGCGGATCGTTCAAGGGTCCTCTTTGGGTTGACGTTTACAGTTTAGTGTTAATGAGGCTTCGGGATTTAGGGGTTCAGGGTCTAGGTCCAGGTTTGCAAACATTCGCGGGGTTTAGCTAGTAGTGGGGTTTCGAGGGTCGTTTTTGTAAGGATCCTCTCGACTGTCTACCAGTAGAGCCTATCTAGGGAATCTTTGTAATTAGGGTCTCCTCCTCCATGGGTTCCTTTGAGGATTCCTTTAAGGGTTCCTTTGTGGGTTCCTTTGAGGGTTCCTTCAAGGGCCCTCTGACTCCGAGGTCACCATGGGAAATACACTCGCAACCGACACGATTCCGGTGCTCTGCACCATGGTGGATGTTCACAACCCAAAGGCTCAGGCGAGGTTGTGCTCGGTTTAGGGTTTAGGGTGCTCATGTGGGGGACGCAATAATTGGAATAAGGTAGCAGGTTTGTTCCGCACTCATACGGGGGAACCGTGGGAGATAGGGGCCTTAATAGAAAAGGGTTTTGGGGCCCATCATACTATAAGTATAGTAAGGAACCCCGCAAAATAGTATTGGTAATTATTCAGGCCGCAATTATGTCCTTATAGTAGCCCTTCTAGACCCCTTGTGGAAAACCCCCCAAAATAGTATTGGTCCTTGTTTAGGACGCTATACAGGGAACTCCAGAAAGTTGGAATATGGTTTCAGGGTAGGATACCTTATAATTTACCATAAAGGGCTTAGGATAATCATATTCCAACTTTCTGGCTTTTACCTTATTGGTCTGGTTCTTTATTGGAGTGCTGACTCCTTCATCTTCTTGAAGTGACGATCGCGGGACACCTGGACACTGCACGAAGCTGCACTTCGAAGTTGCGCATGGTCCGTTGTGTAGGTTTTGCTCAAAGGCACATGATTCGCTTGGTACATGATTCTGCCAGAGTTTGTCCCGGTATGGCCTGATCTAAAGCAGCCCCACTAAGCAGCAGTTTGCTCACTTTCGTCCTTACATCAGGTAGTCGCGGCTACCAGGAGCCGATAGTCGGGTGACCCATGAGGCTGAAGAGCCAGTTTAGGGTTTAGGCTGGAGGGATGATATGCCTCCAGACGCTCTCTGGAAAAGAGTTGGTCTTTGGAGATGCTGAAGTTGAAGACATTTCTCTGCGGCGTGGCGACACGCTGAAGGCCGTGAAGCAGCATGTGAGCACTTTGGTAGGCTGGGGTTCACCGAAACTGCGCCTCTACCCTAAGTCTAGAGCTGCCTTGACTTGGACCTCAGAAATCCTAAACCCTAAACCTTCAAAGGCCCTCAACTCGAAGCCCTAAACCCTAAACCCTGAACCCTCAAAGGCCCTCAATTCGAAGCCCTACACCCCAAAAGGTGCAAGTCGTTTCCAGCAGCAGATCCTCGAGGGAGGCCAGGTTCTGTGCGAGAGCACCTCGATTGCCGATCTTCGGGGCCGGCACCTGCAGTTGCTGATCCTCCCCTTCCTTGAAGGCCCACCTACGGCGTAAGTACCAACACTATTTTTGGGGATTCCTAAATCTGATTATAATATAATGGGCCCCAAAACCGTATTCTAATCAGTAAAGCCCCTATATTATCTATCTGTCTATCGATTTATCTATCTATCTGTGTGTTTGTTTGTTGGTCTGTCTATCTCTCTCTCCCTCTCCCCGAACCAAACAGCAGTATAGATACGCACGTGAACTTCAATGGATATGCAGACACATAAACGTGCATCTATACTTGTATGTCTAAACAGATAGGCAAACAGATAGATGCGTATTACATCTATCTACCTACATATACAAGTATACATACATACATATATATATATATATATACACATAGCATATGTGTAAACTTAAATGCAGTTTGAAGGAGGACAGATGTGCAAGTAAAATTTTGAGTGTATGTATAGATAGGTTTGCATGAACGCATGAAGATTGACATAGTTATAGTGGAATAATGCGCAGTACCGTTTGGTATAGTATAGCAGATCAAAGTGTAGTATAGTATAGTCTGGTACAGCACAGTACAGCGCAGTAACTAAGTATCGTATGTTCAAGAAAATGTAACACAATATGATACAGCACAATTCAACAGAGTTCAAAAGGCACGTGCTCTGTCTACCCATCTGTTCATCTATCTGTCTATGTAACATGTATACATATATATATATACACATATAAATATGTATGTACATATATATATATGTATATGTTGAGTTGTTTGATCATCCGCTTGCTGCAAGGCGATCAGGCCAACGAGCTTCGGGAGGCCACCGATTCTCAGGATCGTCTTGAGAGTTTGCTGCGGACGCCGCTGGATCCGGATCAAGTTGCCAAATGGCCGCAGGAGCCTCTATTGCAATCGCGTTGCTAATATTGCGTGTTTTTGGTGGCGGTGTGTGTGTGTGTGTGTGTATATAAATATAGTTCCTTGTTTGTAGTATATAGTACATAGTCAGTATATGGTATATATATATATATATATATATATAGATAGTATATCGTCTATGGTATGTGGTACATAGTGCATACTATATCGCAGATGACATGTCGTATATAGTAGGTAGTAAAGAGTTTATGGTATACTATCTACGGTATATTGTTCCGCCTATAGAAATGCTGCATATGGTTATATAACATACAGCAAAGAGCGTGTGTATCTATGTGTAGGTCTATGTATAGCATGGCCGCAGGAGACGGCTCTGCTCGCGGCGTCTACGCGTGGCCACTTGGAGGCAGTCCGGCTGCTGCTTGAGGCCAGGGCCCAGGTGGGAGTTTCCGAAAATAGGGGTACCTTATTTTGGGGGTCCTTATAATAAGGATCCTACTATTTAGGGTACCATCTTAGGGTCCCCTATTTTCGGAAACTCCCAGGTGGACAAAGCAGACTGGCGTGGCAATGCGCCCTTGAACTGCGCTTCTAGGTTCCTCGTAGTATCCTTTTGCCTTTTGTCTGTTTGGGCTCCTTCATTAACACCAAATAATTAGTAGGAGATGGGCTACAGTACCCCTATTCTGAAGGGGCTTACTGGAGAACCCAGGCTTGCAGCGAGGGGCACGTCGAGGTGGCTCGTTGTCTCCTCGAAGCAGGGGCCGACAAAGACGCAGCAGGAGAGGGGACGGTTCAGGGTTTAGGATCAGTAGCACCCGAAGCTTCCTGAACTTCCTGGACCCTAAACCCTAAATTTCATAAATCCCAAACCCTAAACTTCGTAGACCCCTAAACCCCAAACTTCATAAACCCAAAACCCTGAACCCTAAACCGGACAAAGACGCTGCAGGAGAGGGGCGGAGGACGCCTCTGTTCCTCAGCTGCCTGCGAGGCGGCCCCAAAGAACTTGTGCAGATCTTGCTCCAGGCCCGGTCAAGCAGATTACATATATTTATGGGGTATTACGGCAAACTTGGGAAAGTAATTACACCAAAGTCCATTGTGGCATAGTATCGTATAGTATAATACAGTACAGTATCGTTTCGCATCTGATAGAATAGTGTCGTCGAGTATATTCAAGCAAAGTAATGTATGGTGTAATATTGTTTTGTATGGTATCTCCAGGCCCGGTCAAACATGGAGATCTCGAGCAAGTTCAACACATCTCCGTTGCTCGCTGCGTGCAGTGGATGTTTTGTAGAAATTGCTCGGATGTTGGTCGAGGCAGGTGCATGCACCTTGGGGGTACTTAGAAATAATTTTTAATTCTTGGTTATTATGATCCCTAAGAAACAGCTAAAATTGTAATTTTTGCTAGGGTTCTAAGTTCAGTATAGGCACTGATTCTGCAGATACTCTGGGAGTCAGCCCGCTTCTAGCTGCTTGCCGCCACGGCTCGCTGGAATTGGTATCTCTTCTGCTGGAAGCAGGAGCTACCACAAACATCGTTGATAGGGATGCTACATCTCCGCTACTGGTAGCATGCAAGAATCATCAGATCGGCATCGCCAGACTTTTGATTACAGCCCGAGCCGATCCGAACATCTCAAACAAGAGCGGAGACTTCGCCCTCTTGCTCGCCGCAGAGGCCGGAAACCCCACCGAGAGGCGAGGCCTCGCAGGCCCCCCGCGTCAGAGCCGATCAGAGCTCCTGAGGCTTTTGTTGGACGCAAGCGCCGACCTCGACAAGACGGATGGAAAGGGCATCTCCGCAAGATCGGCCCTTGCGGTAGCATGCGAAAAGGGAGACGTCGAGGTCGCGCATCTGCTGCTGCAGAGGGGTGCCAAGCAGAAGGGGGGCGAGTGGGGCAAGTCCCCGCTGCTGCTAGCATGCCAGAACGGCCACTGCAATGTTGTGCAGATGCTGCTCGAGGCAAGGGCAGCCCCTGACTGCACTCATGGAGAGGCATCACCTTTGCTGGCTTCTTGCGAGAATGGACACTGGGAGGTTGTGGAGCTCTTGCTTCGAGCTGGTGTAGGTGCGCAAGCCTCAGAAAGCAGCGGTATCTCACCTCTCATAGCCGCCTGCGAGCGAGGTCGCCTACGTGTCGTGGAGGTTTTGCTGGCAAACGGAGCGCCGAGGGAGTCGGACACTCGCGGCATCTCCCCCTTACTGGCCGCTTCAGAGATTGGGCACGTGGATTTGGTATCGCTGTTGATATCCGAGCGCTCGAATTTGGATCACGTGGACAGAGGTGGCAGGTCCCCCTTGCTGGCGGCATCGCTGAACGGTCACAGCAACGTGGTTCGGCTGCTGCTGGCATTTGCCGCTGATCACAGCAAGCAAGACATCGCCGGGACATCTCCTTTGCTGGCAGCCTGTGCGACTGGTAGCCTGGAAAGCGTGCAGGCTTTGCTCACAGCCCGCGCCGATGTGGACCTAGCTAACCACACAGGGGAATCGCCGCTGCAGCTTGCTTTGCAGAGGGATTTCACGCAGATAGCCACTTGCATCCGGGAGATGTGTGAGGTCCCGTTCACAAGCAAACGGGCCAAGCTGAAGTGACGGAACTCTTTTGGCTTCTTTCGGCCAAGATGTCTGACGAGTGCATACTGAGGGATGTTGCTGCATCCTCCACACCCCGGTTTAGGGTTTAGGGTTAAGGGTTCCTCAAAAATGAACCTGTCTGTCCGGGGGACGAGTCGAGCTGCCAGGACATGTTCTACTTCTGCAATGTGAGCAGTGGTGGAGCTGCAACCAAGGCAGGACGCTAAAAGTGTTTGGTTTTCTGTTTAAGGCTTGCCTGCACTCGACATAGAAACCCTAGGCCCTAAACCCCTAAACCCTCAAGACCCTAAACCCTAAACCCTGGCTACGGCTCAAGCTGTCTGGCCCGAGCCTCTTTCCCGAGTCCCGAGTCCCTACCTCGCGTCATAGTGCGTGTTCCTGCTGGGCAACTCTGGCGGCCAGGGCCTCTTCGTCCTCTACCTGTCTGAACGTCCTGGCTTTGACGAGAAGGGTGTGATCCACGCGGCCGGTACCTCTTCTTGGTGGGTGTCTTCGTACACTTGGGTGCAGCCTTGGAGGTGACTTTGGCTACTTCGGATTGCCTCGACCTTTTCAAGGGTGTCACTGTTCTCTCCGGTGGGGTTGACTTCTTGGAACTGGAACGACCTGGGGACCGTCTTCTCTTTCAGGCGTTTTCTCTTCCTTCCTCTTCTTCTTCTTCCTCTTCCACAAGCTCGACTCCTTTGTCTTCCACGTGCCCGCAATGGAGGGTGATTTGGAAGGTGCCATGCAAGTCGAACAGGTTGTGAATGTTGGCTCTCCCACCGAGATTGCAGAGGAGTCCTCCGAAGATGCGGAAGCGGATATGGAACCCAAGTTGGAGAAGCGCAAACGGGAGATCGACATGAAGAAGAAAAGGCATGCCGCCCGTGACCGAGGTGGTGGAGAAGAAGCTGGCGGTAGCGACGATGAGGAGCAAGAGAGCCCCTCCAAGAGGGCATCCCATGGAGCCGATCTACCCCTCTCAGCCCGTGAACTCCGAGCACTTCTACTTGATCATCGTCGAGACATGACCAACGCTTGGAAGACGTTCGAGGGCCGCCTCGGTCGCCTTGAGAAGATCGATAAAGACCGTCGCGGTGAGATTGCCTCTGTGGCTGGCAGGACCAAGGTCGTCGAGAAGGACATGGTAGCAGTTCGTAAGGCGGCCGAGCTCAGTAAAAGTTCTGTTGAGGCATGTGATAAGAGGGTTGACAAGCTCGCAGAGGAAGTTCAGAATTTGAAGGTTCAGCTTGAGGAGAACAAGTCGGAAGCTGCTGGAGATGTCAAGGACCCTTGGGCTGATTACTTACGTCAGCAACAGCAGGGTTTCGCTCCATGGCCTGCCCCATCTTTGCGGGGTCGCGCTGCACCCAAAGGAATGTCGAGACCACAGGCTGAGGGTGAAATGCAAAAGTCACTTCCTGATGGTGATTTCCTCTCTGAAGAAGATCGACGAACTCTCATCGTGGGCGGTTGGTGTCAAGACACACGAAGGCAGGTGATCGAGGAGGAGTCACGTGCACTTCTTGACCATCCGGAAGTACGCCCACTCATTGACGTGGAGAAGATCGCCGTCGATGGGCCCCGTCGCAGTGTTGGGACGATCAAATTTGTTCTTCGTGAGGGTGAACGTTCTTTGGATGATGTTAAGGGACGCATGTGGCAGGTCATTCGCATCGCTGCCAGGTTGAAGCTGACCGTCGAGAGCGCCCGCTCTAATGGTGAGGACCGTGCCATTTGGGCCTCGGTTGTCAAAACCCGTACAGCTCGCACGCGCTCTTCCCACATCAGCATGGTGCGTCGTGTCACGATCGACCTCGTGGGTGAAAACAAAGATGATGGGGGGGGAGTTCTCAACGATGCACACCTTCAGCATGGGGCGTATGACATGGATTGGAATGCTGGCACCATTTGGTGCGGCATTCACAAGCTTGCGTCCTCCACTCACCGGAAGCCCAAGGATGCGGAGACGATCTTGATGACCGGCGGCTGGGTGAATTTGGATGCCATCGGCCTCATCGCGGGATGCTCGGCAGAGGCGGCGAAGTCCGCCTTTGAAACGGAATTGTGAAAGGGGCCAATTCGTTTCACCCCTGAGGACGAAGGGGAGAATTTGGATCTTTCCTCTGCTGCTCCGCTCCGTGGTCAGTCTAAGACTACGCATGGGGTGCGTCAAGGTGTGTGTGCAAAACACAAGTGGGGGAGATTTTCCTCATGGAACCTTGGTGGACAAGATGTCCACAAGATCGATTTGGCAGGGAGGGATCTTGATGTCGTTTGTGTGCAAGAAGTTTCACGTGGAGATGCTCACTGGATGACTGATAACAGCGATTTGTTTCACTGGGTACTACATCGTGCTCCTAACCAGTGGCGGGCCGTTGGAGTGGGAATTGCATCTGACAAGCTCGACTGCATTGTGGGAAAGCATGCGACCAATCGTGGAGTATGGGTACTTGCTCGCCTTCGGGGACTTGGACGTGTTGTCATTGGGAGCATGCACTGTCACACGGGTGCCACCAATGCCATATACCAAGCCGCCGTCCTACAGTTCGTCAATGACTGCCCGAACAAGTGGAGACAGTATCCAGTCTGGTGCGGGCTTGATACCAACGAACAGCTGGTGTGGGCACGTGACGACGAGGACCGGGTGAATCTGGTGAATGGCAGCTCCAACCTCAACCTCCTTGCAAATTCTTTGCTTGAACGTGACATTCATCCACTTGCCCCAAGGCCAGAACAGTGGAACCAGCCCACTCACTTCCCACGCGACCGTCGCCGCACAGGGAGACAGATTGATGCAGTTTGGGTGAGGCGCCTCACTACCAGTTCGGCTTACATTGACCCCGCGAGGAGACATGTCATTGGCACCGACCATGCACTCCTGTACTGTGATGTCCAGGGGAACAATGCCTCGTCCGTTCGATGGGGCAATGATTCGCGGGCACGCTATGTGGTAACGGATCTGCCGGCAGACATCATCGTCGATGCGAATGACCTCCGTGACCTTGCCAGGAAATGTACTAGGCCGCGACTGAGCACTGCTTATCGAGATCCTGAAGAAGTGGTTAAGGCGGCTGCACAGGCCCGGAACACTAATGACCCCAAGGATTGGAAGGCAGTCCATCGATGTCGTCGTCAAGCTCGGAGAACATGGCGAGCGCAGAGGCTCTCGTCCATTCTCAATGGCAACTGGCATGAATACCGATCCCTGCAAAGGGAGAAAAAGCGCCGGACTGGATGGTGGGGTGGTCTTCTGCACGACACTTCCTCGAAAGATCTCACCGCCAAGGTCCAGAATCATCTCAAGAACAAACTGGAGAACGAGTTCTCAAGTGATTGGGATGACACTCTCCAGCAGCAAGTTGATGCGATTTGCCTCCGGGATGACTTTGTGGATTTTACTCTCCTTGACCTTCGTGAAGTTTTGCAGGAGATGAAAATTCATAGTGCAGTTGGGCCCGATGGTATCAGTGTGCACTTTCTGCGAGCTGCTGCAAGTGACGACGTCGTGGCACCACAGCTGCTCGCACTTGTGAACCATATTGTCGCAAACTGCGAGCTACCCGAGATCTGGAGAGACAACTTCTTGGCTCTGCTTGCAAAGGTTGACTTCCCCCAAAAGCCGGGTGATCTGCGTCCCATCTGTGTCAGCTCAGCTTTTCACAAGATGATCAACAAGCTCATCTGTCGTAGAGTCATGCCGCGCATGCGTAACGGCTCGCTGATCTCTGGCTGCGGAAAAGGCAGACAGGCCGCGGATGTCATCGGGACCATCAGTCGTGTGAGGGACATCACACTTGAATGGCATCTCCCTACACTGGTCTGCAAGCTCGACATTTCAGGCGCCTTTGACAAGATCGACCGTGTCAAAATCATGGAATTCCTGATGAACAAGCTCAAGGAGAAGGATCTTGAACATGAACTTAAGTTTATGCTCTGCCAATTGCGCACTTATCGCCTTGTTGGTCAGGTCCCTGGGGGTGATGTGATTGAAGTCGATGCAAATGTCGGCATTAAACAAGGTGCCCCTGAATCGGCCGAAATCTTTGGTCTTGTCATGGATGATATCTTGAGCAGACTGGCGAAACAAAAGGCATGGGGTGACCTTGGCAAGGCCTTCGCTGACACGGATATCGAGCTTGTCTTTTATCAGGACGATATTTTCGTTGTCGAATCTCAGCTCCCACGTCTGGCGCGGAAGATCAAGATTCTTGAGCGCTGCCTCGAGCGGGATGGCTTGCACCTTGCCACTGAGAAGACCAAGATCATTGCATCCGCCTACTACCAAGGACCAAGAAAGGTTCAGGTAGGTGACTCCGTGTTTCAGATTGCTGCTGCAGGGGAGTCAGTTAAAGTGCTGGGCCTCTCCTTCTCGCTCCGTTCAAAGGCCTCGCAACAGTCCCGAGAATTGTTGGGCAGGACTCGTGATGCGGCAATGGCACACAAAGACATACTACGCAGCCATGCAAGTTGGGCAAAAAAGGCTGACATGATGCGAACCCTGGTTGAAAGCCAATTCTCGTGGACAGCAGGTGCCGTCCACTGGTCTGCAGAAGATCTTCGGCAGGCAAACATGCTGCAGCTCCACATCTTGCGCACCTCCTTTCGTATCAGTCGCCAGCGGGACGAACGATGGCATGAGTGGAATGCTCGCAGTATGCGTCATTGTCGTGCCTGGCTTGCTTGTACTGGCCGTGATAGGTGGTCGACTGTCATCCTTAGGCTCCAGCACACACTCGCCGGGCATTGGGCGCGCCGTGAAGAACACGTTGATGGCGCACCTCATTCAGTTCCGGCACTGCCAATGAGAGCTCTTCAGTGGAGAAGCACAGCTTGGTGGCGCCATCAGCAGCAGCTCAGCCCTCGTGTAGGACAACGTCATCCTCGCTGGGTGTTCATTTCCAACCTTGAGCGCCAGCTCGCTGATGCTCACGGGGTGAATTGGCCTGAGCTGGCGGCAGATCGCAATCGGTGGACTCAGCTCCGCCCTGCCTTCCTACATGCATGGGATGTCAAGTGGAGCCAGGGCCGTCAACTTGCCCTGACGATGTAGCAGACCCGCCAACACGGTATACTTGAGGGAAAATGAAGCTGTCTACAGCGGCTGAAGCTCCTCTTTATGCCTTGCTGGGTCGCTCCTCCTGAATGCTCGACTAAATCGAAATTATGTACTACCTGAACACATGCGAACCCATTGCTCACACCGACTGATCTCTGTACCGCATGCTGATTGATTGTATGGTTGACTCTGTCTTTCAAGTTGCAGTTTGTTGGAGCGACGATTGCACAGTACTTCGTCATCTGTCTCGGCTCGAGGTGAACTTGGAAAACTTGAGTTCTCACACGCTCTCTTCGTACCGCAGCATGGCTGCCTGGCTCCTTCTATGTGGACTTGCGTTGACTCGGGCAGGACCTTGGGAAGATGACGGAGCACCTCAAGAGCAGCCCAATCACTGGGATGAGTGGGAGACCCATTGGGAAGCCTCCTCTTCCTCGTCTTGGCCCACCTGGAGCACAACACCCTGGGAGCCTCAGGGATCGTCGGCACCCACAGCGACGCCCTCAATGACGCCTTGTTCATTGACGACACCTGGACAAGCTACTCTTCGCCCTGCTCTTCGACGACTCCTGGGACAACCCCTTCGTTGGCATCGACGACACCCTCGACAAGCTCTTCGCCCTGCTCTTCGACGACTCCTGGGACAACCCCTTCGTTGGCATCTTGCTCCTCGACTACACCCTGGACGACTTCTTCGGCATCTTCCTCCTCTTGGAATTCGCCTGGTTCGTGTGGGGGTGTTGTTCCCTCAGTACACATCAACCAGAGCCAACTTCCTCTGCAACAACTTGGCTCCGCTACGTGGCCTCCTCCCTCGGCGTCGTCGTCCTCTGCCTGTCCACCTCCGGAAAGTCTACGACCTTGGACACGGGAAGAGATAATGCTGAGGATGGCGGAAGCATGGGATGAAGAAATCTGCTGGGGTCTACAGGAACATGTGGTGGATGATATCCTCGGGTGCACACTGCAGGAGGCAACCAACGTGAACAACACGGCGAATCTCCAGCCCATCCCGGAGGACATGCCTTTACCCTTTGACATCCGCCCTCCTTTGCCTGAACCGCCTCAACAACCTGATGAAGTTCATAGTTGGTGGGATTGTGTACGTGACCGTCGTAACCTGCGTGGACAAGAAGGATTCCGACTTCGAGCTCAGGTGAACACCACGCCAGACGATGAAGCCGCTGCTCCTGAACAGGCGACCCCTGCACAGTGGTCTTCTTCCCCCTCTACCTCGGCGACTGATGACCAACCCCGAGGAATCACACAACGCTGGGGAGTACAACGTCCCGGAATCGATCGCTGGCATCACCCTAATGGGTCGGTTCGTTCTCGTCGACGCGAAAGGCTCGCATCTGAACAGGCCAATCCTGATGCGGTGAACCCACCAGCTCCTTTCCAAATCGAAGGGGTTGAAATGCACCAGACTGGCCCAGCAGTCAAGGCGAGAACCTTCTATGGAGAAACATTCCAGGTTTGGGGAACAGCCGCCTCGTCCAGTGACGACGTTAGCACTACTGTACCAGATGATGAGAGCAGTGCCACTGTCGATCACTATCATGGTGATTCCGAGGGGGGAACTTCTTCATCTACGGGATCCGCGAGCTCGTCCGATGTCGGTTTCTACAAACATGGGATCTGGCATTCTCGTCCTCGTACGCCAGCTGAACTACGTGCACACCAAGGCGGACGAGGTGCTACGCGAACTCAGCGTAAGTCGGCTAGAATGGCTGAGTACTGGGCTGGGTCTTGGAGACCTGCATGGCTCAAGCAATATGCTCGCGAAAGGGATGCGCGACAGGCTGCAGCACGAACCGAAGACCCTGCGGTGGTTGAATCTCTCAACCAAGGGACTTCGTGCAACAGCGAGCCGGCTACGCCTGCTTTGTCGCTAGAGAGTCGCTGGGCTCTTGCGAGACTTGTGCAACGTGCCAGTGAAGGAGCCGATGCACAGCAGGCGGTGTTGCAGGTACTTCGCCGTCGTCTTGTTCCTCGTGGACTCCTACCTGTAACAAGAGCCCCACGTACGGAGCAAGTGCGATGGAATATGTTCTCCTGGATACGGCAGTTTATCCCACTCTTCCTGGATAACATGGAGCGCCACCTGAGAACACCTCTCCAGCCACGTGAAAGTGAAGCAAGCTCCTCTAGCACCGATCTGGATGGACCTCGAAGTCGGAGTCGTTCACCCCGTGGGTCGAGCGAGCATCCTGTGGTTTCAGAAGAACTTCGAGATGAACTGGAAGAGTCGTTTGGTGAGGCTTCGTCGGGACCTGCTTCTCCGTTTCCCCTTCACTTGGCACCCACAGAGTTGCAAGGGATATGGCGTGAATCTGATGAGACTACAATGCCAAACCTGACTGCGATGGGATCTGGAGGGTGTAGCAACAGTTCTGTGAGCACTACTACCACGACTAACTCCCCCTCGTTGTGTGGGGCTGACTTGAGTGATGGGCATGGAGATGAAGTGTTCTTCATGCAGGGTCTCATCGCCGACTCTGGAAGCCGAACTTTCACAACAAGTGCACCCACTACGAGTAGTAGGCGAAATTGGATGACCTCGACTACCTCGACCTCGAGCCCACCTTCGACTTCGAGCCCTTCGACTTCGAGCCCATCGTCATCGACTACCTCGACATTGTGCCCATCATTGACTTCGAGCCCATCGTCGACCTGCTGCTCTGCTCCTTCCCGATTGGTGATGAGGATGTACCCATGCTGGACGAGTACGACCACCTCAACGACTTCGCTGACTACTGCGGAAGCGGTCCGGGATGAGGTGAATCAGCAACTGGTCTATGCAGGAGAAGCGGATGTACAAGATCTTACCAGGAGGTTGCTAGTGCATCAACGTCGACTACTACATTTGTTGCGCTTGACTCAAGTTGCATTGGATGAAACGTGGAGATGGACCCCAATTTCGCCAAATGCTTTGCCCCTCAACGTGAATATTCATGAAAGGCATATCTGGGGTGCCATCGTCCGTGAAGCTGCCCAAGGATCTGGCTCAGCATCTTCGGGAAGTTCCACGTGGGTGAATTCCCCTGCCGTACTGCTTCAGCCAGGATTACCAACGTCCTTGCAACAAACTGAGCAAGCACTTGAAGGCCTTCCTGAAAGCACGTGGGCTTCGTATCGTCGACGTGCCTGGCGACGCCACATGGAAGCCTTGTTTGAGGAGGGCGGGAGAGAAATTCCGCGTGGTTCATGGCCAGACCCTGGGGATCAGGAGCTTTTCCTGGTGCAAACCAATACTCAAGCAAGCATTGAGAACTGGCCTCCCATGGTACCGCTTCCTTTGACAGCACGTGATCATGCTCGTGAAGGAGTTAGTCGACGAGGCCATGCACTACGACCCGAACCACAAGTGGTCTCAGTCCATCAGGACTTACTGATGGAGAATGCGCGGCCCGCTGGTGAGTTGTCGATCCGTCGTCGTAATTTGAGCCATGTACGCCGCCGTGCTCGTGAGCTACCTCGCCACTCACGACGTCGTCGAGTGCGTCAGCGCCTTCTTCGCTCACGAGCTCCTCATGCCGCTGATCGTGAACGTGCCGCACAAAATGAAGGTGATGAAGCTGGTCCTTGTCTCTCGGGAAGTTCGCAATCGGGTGGACACGTGAACAGAGAAACTTCTTTCCTCCGTGAACGCAGCCGTAGTCGGGACGCTTGAAGAACCTGTGGTACGGTGACAAGTGAGTACTTCCGGTACAGTGAGGAGTGAGTGCAAGCGTTTTTCTGTGTGGTGTAAGCCTCTTCTTGAGGCAGGCCCTGTGACCTGCTTGTGTGCGGAGAAAGAGCCAGTGCACTTTAAAAAAAAAAACCCTAAACCCTAAACCCTCAGCTACATGCTCCCACGACATGCCCGAGGCAAGCAGATAGGACAGGCCGACAGATTGACTTTCTTGCCTCCGCTCGGTGCGCCTGCAGTCGTGTTTCAATACTCTCGGGATCACATGATGTGTTGGGTACGGACCACGATGTACTAGTGATGCTGGTTTCGGTGACGGGGGGGAGAGTTCCCCGAAAGACAGACACCAGACCCAGAGTGTTGGTTCGGGACCTGCCACCAATCGACAATCTCAGCCAGGAGGGGGTGGTCGCTTTGGCTCGGGACTATACCGCTCCGAAAACAGGCAAGAGCTATGTCGACCCTGAAGCTGTTAAAGCTCTTTTTCGTATTGCTCGTCACGGGAAGAACCGAGAGGAGTGGAAAGCAGCTTTCCAGGCCCGGAGAAAGGCTCGTGGGGTGTGGCAACAGGAACAGTTGCGGAACGCGGTCGCCGGTGACTGGGGTGCCTTTCGGCGGGTCCGCCAAAAGCCGAAGGGCGAGTGGGAGCATGGGTATGCAGATGCCAACTCTGAGCCTCACCTGAGCATCCACAATCACCTGCAGAGCATCTATCGGTCGGACGAGAGGGTTGAGGTATGTGAACCAAAACTTCCCTTCCGCCCCATCGAACTTGAAGAGCTGAAGGAGGCGGTTAGACTTGGAAAGCGGGGGGTCAGTGTGAGTCAGGACGGTACCTCTCAGGAGCTCATTCAGGGGATTATGGCAGCTGACGGGGGGGCGGAGGCCCTCCGGAGATGGTTCTCGGACATTCTCCTGTCAGGGGACCTGCCCGAAGATTGGTACAAATCCCTTATGATCGTGCTACCCAAGACGTCTCATCCGGTGCTCCCTAAAGAACTTCGGCCGATATCAATGTCCTCTGCTTTGAGTAAAACCTTCTGCCGGATCATCCTTCAGCGAAGCAAAATGGCGGTGAAACCCCATGGATCGTGTCAATGTTCGGGGCCGCAGAAGCAGACCACAGACTACGTGTACTGTGCACATCACCTTATGGCTCTGGAGAGGGAGTGGAAGGGAGGCCTGGCCTTCCTTAAGGTCGACCTCGAAAAGGCTTTTGACCTGGTAAGCCGTCCTGCACTTTCGTCATTTCTCGAGGAGCGCCTTGGGGCAGGGTACGAACTTCGCATTTGGCAGCAGCTTCTCGCGCAAAGCACGGCGAGTCTGGAAACCCCCTGGGGGGCGTCAGAACTTAGTGTTCAGCGTGGAATTCGCCAGGGCTCCGTCGAATCTCCTCTCTTCTTCTCGTGTCTTGCTGAGATGACGGTGGAAAAAACGGCGGAGACTTGTGGTTGGGCGAGGGAGGACCCTGCTCTGCCTGGCCTCATGCTTAGTGAAGCCTTGTTCGTTGATGACTCCATATTGTGGAATTCTTCGTTGAAGGTTTTGAGTCGCAGGACCGAGCAATGGGCGAAAACACTTTTGGAGTGTGGCTTGCGGATCAACATCGAGAAGTGTGCTTTGTATGTGAGCCCATATCATGACGGGGACAGGAGCATCACGGTACAGGGGGTCACTCTGCACTCGGGGGATCACTTGAACGTCATGGGGCTCCAGTTGAGCGTCACGGGCACAACATGTCAGCTCTTGGCGGGGTTACTGGCAAAGGCGAGGGATACCTTTTGGGGCATGAAATCCCTTCTGCTGTCGGACTCTCCGATACACTCGCGGGTACGCCTCATGCACAAGGTTGTGGGCGGGTGTGGGCTCTGGTGTATTTCGGCCTTTTACCCCGAGACCTCTGCCCAGCATCTCGTGAACACTTTCCAGATGCAGTTGCTGATCAGCATGTTGCGGTTGAAACGACGACCTGACGAAGGGTGGTTGTCATTTCGCAAGCGGTCCTACCGCACCGCCAGATCGGTTTTGTGGCAGGGCAAGCACCCCAGGTGGAGCAGTGTGTGGTGTGAGAGACATTGGTTGTATCTGGGGCACCTCGCTCGCTCCCTATCACATCACCCACCTCCGGCGGCGGGTCTGGTTTGTGCTTATCGCAACAGGGAGTGGTGGTTGGCAGAGCAAGCGAAGAGCGACAGAGAGGGTACTCGGCACACTGGCAAATTCTTTCCTCGGCTCATGCTTGCGGAGAGTCATCTTGACTCTGTTTCAGGTGGACCCTGGAGAGTTTGTGCACAAGATCGGGCACGGTGGACAGGCCTGGCACGAGACTGGGTTCGGTTTGCAGATGTGCCCTGGAGTTCGGGGAGGCAATTAGCACTGGTGGATGGATAGAGTGTTGACTAGTTGCTGAGCGTCGGTGGCAGAGCTGAGTGAAGCCTCACAGCTGAAGTGCTTGGTTGCCGCTGCTCCAGCAAAGGGGTAACACGACAAACACCCGTGCTCTTCCTCTCGCTGACTACTCGCTGCATGGCGGCGACTTTCTTCATGACCTTCGGCCACCCGCGCCGACTTGGCCTGAGCTCCGTGATGGCGCTCCTGGCCCTTTGGAATGCTTTGGCCCACCCTCCTCAAGGACGTGGGCCTGCTCCACTTGATCCACATGACAATGTACAGACGGCAACTTCCTTTAACGAGACCACTTTGGTTTCTCCGGAACAGGCTCCCCCGGCCCACATGCAGAACTATGAGACGGAAGACCTGGCGACAGGCCACACGGGTGAGGGGGAGACCACCAATGAAGCACAGGAACAGGAGCCCGCAAGTGGCTCCAATCAGCAGCCAGCTGCGTCTTCTTTGTCCTCGTCCGCCGGAGCCGCCTCCTCGGATCAGGCTCCCTTGGTGTGTGCCTGCCCGTCCATGGTGGACTCCTCGGACGGCTACCACTACCAGATACCCGCAGTGCCGATGAAGGCTCGCATGCAGCGTGCGAAACGTAAACGGCTCCTCCTTCGCAGCTTGATTGCGGATGAGACGGAGCGCTTTGTCAGGGAGGTTGACGACAAGCTCATTCGCATCTCCGAGGAGCACGATGGAGACTGGGTCATCGCGGTGTGCATGGAGCTTCGCCGGGAGATTGGCCTCTTCCTCCAGTACGACCCTCACCCTCGGGACGGACTTCGCGACGCTATGGTCGCTCCTATCCTCCAGACACTGGATGAACGTACTGTGGAAAACCCCCACATCATGGCAAAGCGGTATCGGCCGTGGCTGGATGGCATGTATGCAAGGCTCTTTCGGGCAGTCGAGCGGGTCAAGTTCCAGGCGGCAGAAGAGCTGGATCTGGGAGAGTTGGCGGATGGGTCGTGCTTAATGGACATGGGCAATCCACGTCCGCCATGGAGGGCACGATCCCGCCTCATAGGGCCGAGCGGCCCCAACAGTGCCCGGGAGACTCACACTTACGTCACCTTGCAGGCTGATGGTACAACAAGTGCGAGCCCACACCCGCCTGTTCACGGAGAACCTGCGAACATTGCGCAGGCGGTGGGCATGGTGTGTGACGTGCTTGGACTTCGGCACCCTGACGAAGAGCAAGAGAGTACTCCGGGGTTCCTCCCTGCTCGAACACAGAGACACCTCATCAACATCTTGACCCCGATGAGCGATGCTGGACGGCGCCTCATGCATGATGCTCTGGCCCCCTGCTTGAGTAGGCTGGGAGATGAGCTGGAAGAACTGATGATCTCCCTCCCTCGAGCCGATCGCGGTACGGCCTCTGGGTCGACACCTGCTGCTAGCTCCTCGTCGGGGCCGCGGCGGCCCAAGGCGAAAGCTCGTCCTACCACTGCACGTTCCCGCTCTCCTGTGACTGCGGTTGCAGATCCGGCAGCGAGCTCTGATGTACCTGATGAGGGGCCACCGGTCGACCTAGCCTCGGACTACGTGGACGTGTTGGTTGAGGATGACGACTCGGACGACGAGCTGCTGCTGCAGCTAGGCTTGGATGTTCACTACCCGGGGGATGAAGAAGCAGACACCTCGGGGTTCATGCAAGAGGCTGCACGCGGGACAAGGCCCGCACTGGCGCCGGGAGGCTCTGATGATTCCTCCAGTGCCCCTCAGGGCACCGATGGAGAGGGGTTGGCAGATGCAGGGGCAGGTGCAGGTGACGATTCGGGAGAATGTGCACCGCCCCGTCGACGTGCTGGACAAGGTGCGGGTGATGGTTCGGGAATACCTGTCCGAGAAGGAGAGAGCTCGCGAGCACTACCCGGCCAGCACGAGTCGGGAGAACATCGAGATGGAACCTCTTCGCCCCGGAGGGACCGATCCAGGTCCCCGCTCGCTCATGGTCTTGAAGTCTTCCTGGGAGCTCGTTGGTGGCCCTCGATCCTCGACAACTTCTTGGCTCTGCACACCAATGGTGGCGGCGGACCACGAATGCTGGGTTACCTCCAGCATCTGATCGAGGGCAGAGGTGTACGCTCTTATGCTGGGTATTGTGCACCGGTACTTGCCCACCTCGAGGACACTGCCCCGGATCCCCTGAACACGGGCCTCGTGACCCAGGATGTGGAGTTTGCGGTTCTGTTGGAGAACTACATGTGGGAGGATTGGGTTGATGAGAGGCGGCCCCTACCTGGTACCCAACCGGTGAACGTGGGCATCTTCGCGGCTGTGGACGGGGTTCGAGCAGGGGAGGACACGTATAGGGTGCTACAGTGGACAGACGTGGCACAGCTCAGTGCCCTTCCTGGGGACGACAATGCCTCCCCCATGCTTGAGAATGCCGAGAGCGGCAGCGAGGTCAGCTGGTCTTCTTCCTTGGTTCAGTCTGCCCTTGTCCTACGCCCACATGGTGGACTGGTGCAAGTGGTCCAAAGCCTGGACGTAAGACTAACCGACTTCCCTCCTTCCACACGGGTACGGCGAGCTCTTGTGATGCTCGATCGCCTGAGGGCGTACTACTGCGCATCTGGAGGGCGACGGCGTCTACCTGAACAGGCGGAGAGCTTGGAGGCCATGCTCACGACCCATGCCGTTGCTGACAGTGGCGAGTGCTCTGCCGGGGACCCTGACAATGAAGACTCGTTGTGGGTCAACTCCTGGTGGGATCAGCTTCGGTCCCTCCTTCCTCCGCCGGATGACGAGATTCCGCCAACACTGCTACGGGAGACTGTGTCAACTGGCAGTCCGGCGGGAGGGGACCATGATACAGACAGCCGAGGGACTACCATTGAATGGCATGAACGCCAGGAGCTTCTACAAGAAATGGATGACGCCCGCCGTTATGAGGAGTACGTTCTCGAGAAGGAGCGGCGCGAGCAAATGGAGGCGGATGAGAGGGACTTGCAAGAGGCAGCCCGGCTTCGTGCTGTTGAGCGTGGGGGTGCTGGAAGTGCCCGTCCCGACGGTCGAGCCTATCAGGTATGGGAAGACTGGGCGGTCTACGATGAGATGTACGGGGCCTCCAGGTCGGCGAGCAAACGGGCTCGAGTAGAAGTCGAATCTTTTCTGGGAACTGATGCCAATGGCCCGAGTTCCAGTACCAGCCTCTGGGTTCCACCGGCGAGACTGTTGCGGATCACCATCGCCCTGCCTCAAGTCAACGTGGAGTCGCCAACGCCTCTGGAGCCTACGCAGGAGGGCATCCCGGGGGGTATCGGTGACATGGTCCTGGATGTCGAGCCGACAACGACGACGGGGGCGAATGGAGACCATGTGGCTTCGGGGCAATGGCCGGCCGGATCTCTCAGGGATGGGGCTGAGCTGGGGAACCCGAATGTCGACTCTGGCGCGTAGAGGAGGGCTGAACTGAGTGCCTGAGCTTGCTTCGAGTAGTGTGGTAGTGTGTTTTCCGGAGACCCTGACAGCACATCGGACTAGTATGTGAAGGTCGTGACGAGTCTGAGTTCACAAGTCCTTTGTTGTGGGCCAGTTACCCCGTGTTCCAGGCTGCTGTCTCAGGGCTGCTATACACCCCCAGCGGGACACCGCTTTCGGAATGCTTGCCAGACGGAAAAGGGGCGTCTAACAAAAAAAAAAAAACCCTCAAGCCTAAACCCTAAACCCTAAACCCTAAACCCTCAAGCCTAAACCCTAATAGCATCAGGGAGTTTCAGGCCCTTGGTGCATCCAAGCTTGGAGTATCGCAATGATCACAGGATGTCGTGCCATGCTTCCCGCTTTGATGGGGCGGAAAAGCCCTGAACCCCCAAACCCTAAACCCTGAACTTGAAGTTTAGGGTTTAGGGTTTAGGGTTTAGGGCCTAGGGTTTAGGGTTTAGGGTTGAACCCCTAAACCAAGACGTTCTGCTCGTGAAATTCTGGAAGGTCATTGGCCGATCTCAGACGCTGAGTGTGGAGGCGGCTGCGCTCTTATGCAAAACTACTATACTCCACGATAATAGTAGACCACAATGTACCGTAATATGCTATATTGTACTAGTTACCATAATATGCTATTGTATCCCTCAGTATACTATGATACATACGATGACTATGATATACCAATCATTCCTCAACATACCATGATATATTATAATATCCATTGCTATAGACTATAGATACCATGAAACCCAAAAACCCTTCTTAAAATACCTAGCGCTTTCGTGACGCCGACAGGGGGCTGCTCCTGCCCTTCTGCCGTTAGGGCTTCAGGGTTTCAGGTTTTAGGGTTTAGGGTTTTCGGGTTCAAGGTTTAGAGCTTTAGGTTTTAGGGTTTTAGGTTTTCCGGTTTAAGGTTGACGGTTTTGGGTTTTAGGGTTTTGGGCTTTAGGGTTTAGGGTTGGGGGTTGAGGGTTCAGGGTTCAGGGGCAGAGAGGTTCCTTACAGTTGGGGGTGGATCGGGGTCCAGTCTAGTCCAACGAGTCGAAGGGCCAAAAAATCGACAGGGTTACGGTTACATTCAGAGCTTCTTGAGCGCAACTGCGAGGGAAGCAAGAGTTGGTCTCAGAAGCCAATGGAAAGGACCGAAGGCTTAGGGTTACCGCTTCGAGCAGGGTAGAGTATAGAGTAACAGCGTAGTGCAGTGTAGTATGGTGTCGCGGTGTAGTGTAACATTGTAGTGTAGTGTGGTTCAGTATAGTATTTCTTGCACAGTATTGCATGGTATGCTGTACTATGGCGTCGTATCACACCGTGTCGAAGTGCAGTAGAGCTGTATAGCATGTATAGTGTGGTATAGTATTTTGTAGTCAGCTATAACCAAGTAGAGTACGGGAAACAAGTATGGGATGGTGTAGTGTATTCCGTGTAATGTAGTTTAGTTCAGTCTAAGGCTTGACTCGACTCGTATGGTGTAACAGTGTAGTGCATCATCGTATAGTGTAGTGCAGTACAGTCTGGTATAGTGTAGTCTCGTCTGGTGTATTGTAGTGTAGTATAGAGTAGTATAGACTAGTATAGTATAGTATAGCATAGCAATTAGTGTAGTGTAGTGCAGTAGAACAAGTACATTGCAGTATCCTGTAATACAGCCTCGCAGAGTCTAGTGTAGCGTAGTGCAGTGTAGTGTGGTATAGTATAGTAGATAGTGAAGCATGCATGTAAGAATCGACAAAATACAGCGTCGTAGTATAGTAAGTATAGTAGAACAAGATCCGCAAAACCCTTGTGTTTCTGGAGATGCGGCAAAACTCCCACAGAATCTCAACGTCAGGTGGGTATCACCACCGTCCTAAGCTTCACAGTCTACGAGTGCCCTGAGCCTGCCGGCCCGACGACTTGTGGCCCCTGCACTTCGGGATTGCCATGCAGGCTTTTAGTTGCTGGGTTTTGGGGCTTCTAGCAAGTAGGGTTGATATGGCTCAAAGACCCAGCTTTTAGGAAAGGCTTCCGAAGAAGATCACCTGCGATGCATGTGCCAACTTCTCCGATGCCTTGGACAGGATAACAAAGAGCGTCGTCTAGCATTTTGCGACCTGGTGTTATAGATATATAGCAGAGAGAGAGAGAGAGAGAGAGAGAGAGAGAGAGAGAGAGAGAGAGAGAGAGACAGAAGGAGCGAGAGAGAGAGAGCGAGAGAGAGAGAGAGATGGCCAAGTGCAAGCAAGAGAGAGAGAGAGAGAGAGAGAGAGAGAGAGAGAGAGAGAGAGATGGCATCCCCCGGCAAGGGGATGGGCACCCACGTTGTCTCCCTCCCCGAAGGAGTTGAGACGCAAGGGGGACACGGAGCTCCGAAAACGTCATGGCCCCGTGTAGGGCAATCAAGCAGGCAAAGCAAGCAACACAGTCAATCGAATTTTACTGTTTGTCAGAAATCTGCGCCCAAGGCAAAGTCTGGTGGGGCTGAGTGGCGCGGCTGGGTTGAAACTAGAGAAGTGTGGGAGATAGAAGTGGCCCGTTCAACGGCCTCCCGAGATACACCTTGAACTCATCTATTACAACACATTTCGAAAGGAGGCCGACGTGCTCATGGCGCAGATTGGGAACGTCCTTGAACCCACACGTATCCCCCAACAGGAAGGTATGTCAGCAATCGTTAGCAAGCCGCCGACCTGCTGGATATTCCAACCCCCATGGCCATGGTGCTTGAAACTGGAGGATTTGCCCACTGGCCCCAGGGCGAGCACCAATGCTGCAACCCGTGATTATGAGGGAGCAGGTAGTAGCGCACCGAGACCTCGCGCGATTAATACACCGAGTCGCTGGAGTTCCATGGCCCAGCAGTACCAGAGTCCCCGCAGCTTAACTCGCATCAACTTTTGGCTCTTGCAGTATACGACCGCATCTGTATAAGGTCCGAAGACAGATTACTGTACAGCACTGTCGCCCCAGTGGGTGCTCGTCGAGTCCCACCCTCTTAGTGCCGCCTTGGGGATCCGCACCCTTTCCAGCACCAGCCCACCCAGCAGAGACTGGCACCAGGCCCCTTGGCATAGCTTCGAAACCCTAAGCCCCAAAACCTAAGCCCTTGAGCCCTGTACAAGCCATCTACGTACTATATCGTACACTGGACCCTGTTACTGTTACTATTACTATTCTACTATCATTATTTCTATTACTATCTATTACTATTACCATTACTATTACTATTACTATTACTATTACTATTACTATTACTATTACTATTACTATTACTATTACTATTACTATTACTATTACTATTACTATTACTATTACTACTTACTAGTACTAGTACTACTTACTACTTACTATTACTATTACTATTACTATTACTATTACTATTACTATTACTATTACTATTACTATTACTATTACTATTACTACTACTACTACTACTACTACTACTACTACTACTACTACTACTACTACTATACTACTACTACTACTACTACTACTACTACTACTACTACTACTACTACTACTACTACTACTACTACTACTACTACTACTACTACTACTACTACTATTACTACTACTACTACTACTACTACTACTACTACTACTACTACTACTACTACTACTACTACTACTACTAGAGTCCATAGTGCCAGGTGTTTACTCCGGAGACTGCCCGATGCCTCGGCTTGCTGAGGCTGCAGTGCGGTTTACTTGGCTCCGGGTCTTAAAATATAGCCTATTCTACCTCTCTAACTGACTGCAATTCTTGAATGAAACCCAAGGCCTTAAGCCGCTTCCTAAAATCCAGATGTGAGCTTGTCAAGGCATCTAGGGCTTCAGGTCTCAAGCTTTGATATGTAAAGCTTCAAAGCATTGCCATAACACTGTTGCTTTCATCTTGCAGCAACTTGCAAATCTTGTTTTCTATGACTGCGCCAATCTTGCGAGAACTGGCAGTGACGAGTTGTGATGCTATTTGTCTTGTTGTTTCTAACGCGACAGCTTCGCATGTCGCTACCATGCTATCATGCTTGCTGGGCGAGTACTCATGAGGCGTTGATACGACAATATCAAGACGCTGACGTTCGTTTGACCAACACAATGCGGCTTCAGCTCCCGCCATACATATAGCGAAAGCAGCGAAAGCAATGACAGTGATGATGCGTTCGTGCTGTGTTTGTGGTTCTCATGAAGAGCACCTTTTGAGTTGGTGGCAGAATGCCTTCGATTCTTCCATGCCGGCGACGTCAGTACTTACTTGAGTCTTGCAGATAAGGCATTCCACGCTTGAAGTAGACTGCGTGCTGCAGCAGGGTGCCTGTGGAACGCCTGGCAGAGCGCTACTCCTCCGGAATCTCAGCTTGATCCGTTCTTACGTGGGTTTAGGGTTTCCGAAGCCTCAAATCCTGGTTCAACAAAGAGATATCAAAGTAAGCCCAAGCGAAGAACAGACAGATTGAACCATGACGGACTACCACAAAACATCCGAAAGTTCCTCGAAGCTTCCTTCAGGACGGCTCAGGGTTGGGGTTTTAGGGTCTAGGGGTTGAGGGTTTTAGGGGTTAAGGGTCTAGGATTTTTGAAGCAGCCTAGGTATCTTTCAGCAGTGGTTCAACCTGGATACGACTACGGACCCCCGGATGCCTGCTGGAGATCTGCAGAGCCTCGTTAGCCGCTTCGAGCAGGCGCCACCCGAGCGCTGAGGTTCAGAGCTTGAGGTTGAGAGGTGTAGATGATGACCATGAGGATGCTGACGATGATGATGATGATGTTGTTGGGGATACTGCTCTCATGTTGATGTTGGTGAGGTGTTGATGGATATGCGATCTTATGTCTGTTGTCGTTATTAATGGGTGTTGCGTGTGGTGTTTCTGTTCTTCCTCGTTCTACTAACAACATCATGCATGATACGTCTAGCATACTTACCGCTGGTCACTGATTTCACCTCAAAACCTAGCATCACAAAGGGCGTTCGATCGCAGCAGCAGCAGCAGCAA